CAGGTAAAACGTTGGGGAAGGGGATCGCGTTGGATGAAGTTTGAAGGCATTTTTCCTTGGACCACTTCCACCCATAAGACCACTTCTGTCTTCGTTGAGTTAGGAGGGGGCAAATCCGCAGTGAACACTAGATAATCGATTTCATTATGTACAAAAGCAATCACTCAATACAACAATTAGTAACATATCATCAACGAACTCGGTTCTATAAATCACTGACGGTGGGCAAAATACGGTAGGCTCTCCTGGTCTACGATGATACGATAACAGACAGAGGAGATGGGGCATTTGCTGGCAAAATAACAAGAAAACGACAGATTACGAACACACCAACGAAAACCAACAGAAAGAACGAGAAATAAAAATCGATAAAATCAATCGATACCCATGAGTCACGACCACGACGACTAGGCATGATGTGTATGTGTGTTAATGTGTGCTGAATGTTTGAGAAGTTGGTCGAAGGTGAAAACGAGTAATTACGACAACGGGAGTCCTATAACGGTCAGATAGGCAGCTTTATACGGTAGTCTAGTTGCCGTGTAACTTGTAGATTAGACGAATATAATATCTATGCGATAATTATAGGGATAATACAATGCGAAAGCAAAAAAGGTGGTAAAAGGGAGCAATGGAGTCGAGCCCATCAGAAAGCTGAAGCGCCCTGAGTAATGTGTCAATGGAAAACAACTGAGACAAGAATGACCATGGGAGAAGTCCTGAAATTATGAGCATTAAAAAATTTGAAGAAAAAGAAAGTTATAGATTTAACGGCCATATCAAACTCGGTGCTACCTCTGGAGCGGACGCGTTGCGGTCGCACGCGGATGAGAAGATGCAAATGGTGCGCCCATAATTTGCGTCAGCGTTTTGAGTGTACAGCAGCGCCTACTAGCCTACGGCAAAAAAACCAGATCGATAGCCGTACTTTTGTAGTCGCTCAAAACGCTGACGCAAAGTATGAACACACATTTGTGTAAGGCGTGCGCCATCTCGTTGTGAGAAATTTTCGCTGAATACGATTCTCTACGTCCTCTCCCCGTAAGATATCCCCCTTATAATGCAGCTACTTTCGTAATGTGGAGATCGTCAGTGAGGAGGGGGGAGGGTCGTATTTGGCCTCTTGAAAGTTGGGGAGTCGCACTTGATCGCCTGGAGAGGACTGGTCGTATTCGTGCTTGCGAAAAAATTTTCCTATAGTTGACTTTTCCGGTTTTCATGTCCCATGTGCACAATGCACCTTCCCTCCCCCCCCCCCCTTCACCCTCCGCCCGTTCGACGGCAGTACTTTAGGAAAAACTGGAGAATTCTGCAAAAAAAAACTCCGAAAAAGTGGGAATCAGGATGGGGGGGGTCGTATTTTGCGCGATTCTCCTCCAAAGGCAGGACGTGCCCTGGCTTCGACCAAATCCCTTCTGAATTGTTCCAAAGTACTGCCGTTAAGAAGGGAAGGGAGGTGGTATACGCGCGTGAAACGGGACATATCGTCAATTTAGAGAACTGCTCCAGAAGGAATTACTCTTGGGGCATGTCGTAAGTTGGGTCTCCCCAGCGAGGGAGGAGGGGGGGGGGGCTCGCATTTTGTCGCTGAAGCAGAGGAATGCAATCTGCTTCATGTAATATGGGGGTTTCCTCTTTTCATGTAAGCTGCATACCTTCCCCCCCTACGCAGCTTTTCGAGGGAGAAAGTGTAAGGATTCCGGAATTGGAAAGTAAAGTAGGTTGGGAAGGGTTCAAGAAGATATTAGGTTGTTCGGAAAGGAATGCGCGTTGACTTTGTCTATTTATTTCTCTTCTACTATAGGAGATTTTTCAAAACAGTTTTGTCCATTAGAGAGAGGTTTTTATTGCGCATCTTTTGATATATTTTTTCTATGTCTACCTTGTTTTTTTAGATCAAGCAAGTCCTAACGACGCACTTGGGTGGACCTAATGACCCACTCGGCTCACAGGGGCAGCGGGCGGACCTAGCGACACACTCGGCGAGAAAACTGGCAAAAAGAGGCTCTTTTGACCTACATTTCCTCTCCGGCGGACCTAACGACACACCCGAGGGGAAAAGTAGTGAAAGAGGCTCTTTTGGCGAAGTTTTTGCGTACAGTTGGCAACAAGTCATTGCTAGTAATGGAGATTATCTTTTAGATTGACCTTGTTTAATTTCGTTTTTATAATAAAAATTTTTTTACACTCAAACGCGCATTCCTTTCCGAACAACCTAATAATAAGTAGGATGAGGGAAGGTTCTTATCAGACGAGGGAGTTCTGAGGTGGGTAGTATTTTACGGGGTGGTATTTTACAAATGTTTCCCCCAACCGCAGGACCTGCCCTGAATACGTCTTCCTTTGTCAATTCATAACGGATGGTATGCCTTGGTCACAAGTCACTATCGTTTAAACACAAGTAACTTACCAATATCTTCGCCATAACATTCGACTCTCAACAACAGGCTATGATTTACGGAGGCACGTAACTCGGAGGCATTCTCTGGTTCGGAACGGGGGCAGCCGATCCCAGTCGAGGAGAGGCGGCTGCTAACGGTGGTGGTGGCTTGTAGAGCGGGTTCTCGTGCTGTGACACCTACAAAAACACCCAAAATCCATTTTTAACTCGATTTGAAGAATCCGCAAACAATCGCCTCACCTTAAACGGTGGTCGCTCCTCTTTGGTAAGCATAGGTGTGGCTGCATGGGCCATTTCAACGTCTTCAGCCACTTCCTCTGGGAACACCACTGGCATCCCTTTTCCCATGTAGTCAGAGGGTTTCTCCTGGAAAATTGATCTTTCAGCGGTTCGTAATACTTCTGGGGCTAATCTGCAGGGATTCTCTGACCTTCTTTTTGTTCCTCCTCATCGCGCTGCACACGGCTAGGATCAGAATAGCGAGAAGTAGAAGTAGAAGAAGCACTCCAATAAGGACCATCCATGGGAAAGCTGCTTGTTCCGTAGCCTCCATTGTCGGTGCTGTTGAAACCGGCTCCTGAAAGATGGCATAAGTTGATCTCTGGAGGCTACATAAAGAGGTTGGACGCTGTTTGGCTTGGTGGGGGCATTTCGCTGGTTCTCATCGACTATTGCCGATATCTCCCGTGGAGGCCTGTCAACTCCTGCAAGGCTAGGCAGCAGTTTGAGCTTCGTTCATATTCGACAGGAGTCTACGGGTCCTACCAAGATAAGATGAGCAATTCAACAGGAACCAACGAAAGGACAAAATGCCCCTCCCACGCCGAACAGCGCCATCCAGCAAGCAGTTCTCTGCCACTTACCACTTCCTTATCGACACAGCTGCCTCGCAAGTCAAGACTGGCCTTTCTGACGTGGAACTGCGACCCAATCTGTTTCACAAACTCGATCTTCGTCTGAGATCGTTGTCGAGTTAGCATAGTGAAGCGGATGTTGTCGAGGGCATCGCGAGCGCACGTCTGAAATACTCATCAACGCGTCGAACTCTTTCAAATGCTTTAAACTGACATGCTGTAATCGGATAATGCGTTACACTGTCACATGAACTTGCAGATTTTGAGAGCGGTTTTCTACTGCTGGGGCGGGGCGTTCGCGCAAAGGCGGTCGCGTTACTGTTGTAAAACGTATTAACACTCGTTCATTCATGCGATTCTTGTGACAAGTGTAACAGCAGTAACATAGTTCAGTGGTGGGATCGGACTGGAACAAGAGAAAGACTCGAGGGATGCAATCTCCTCGCTCTACCTCTACGCCTTGCCGATCTCTTTTCAGGGCACGTCGTACACTGGGGAATATCCAGCGAGGGGGTGGAGGTCGTGCTTGGCCGCTGAAGGAAGGGAAGGGGTCGTGGTGGGTTGCTGGAGGGAGAAAAGCGATCGTTTTCAAGAAAATCTACTCTCGATTGTTTTTTTCCTGTTTTGAGAGCGCTGTCTGCATCGTAAGGAAACTCTCAATGGGTGGGGGGAGGGCGGTCGCATTTGCTCGTCGGAGAGGAGGGTTTTGGCCTTTGATGGTGATCTCTCTACCCTCCTTCGCGCGCACCCTCCTCTCTCTACCCTCCTTTTTCCTGAATAAAAAAAAGCTGGATATTTCCCTGGAGATCTGGAAAACTGGTAAAAGTGGCACGAGGCTGGAAAAAGTCAGTAAAATGCGAGACGATGGCAGAAATACGATGGGAAATATTGGGCTCGTGACAGATCTCTGGGAGGGGCTCAGCCAAGGCCCTGCTTCTACTGCTCAACACTTTCACCTCACCAAGGAAACGAGCGTTAACGTTCCAGGCATAAAGTCCATAGACCAGTAAAGAGAGGAGTCTTTGGCCTAAATTTTTCCACAGCTGACCCCTTGGTGCGAGAGTTAAGTTTTCGAGACTAGCACTCTGGAGGAGGGGCGTTCGAAGGGATC